CTCAGGCGGCTAAGCCAAAGGCCCTGCCGAGGGGACCAGAGTTCGGAGGTAGTCTTGTGCTCAAGTCATGAAGAGGTTCACAGCTTCAAGGACTCTATGGATTCGTAATCTTTTGACCTAATTGAGAGATATACATGAGGAAGACTTCTTGTCTCATGAGGACTCTCCAAACTTTTCCTATAAAAAGGAGCAGGTTCATTCATTTAACACAACACAATTCACGAGTTATCTCGTTACTCTGCCGTTTTCTCTTTAGACCATCACTGACTTGAGCGTCGGAGTGTTCGCGCCGGGACCACCCCCAACGTGCTTTGCAGGTACCGACGATCAAGGAGACGTAATCCGGTCCGAGAGGAGTGGTCCAGCTGTTCGAGTATTTGTGATATAACATATAGGGACTGGAGATGGTCTTGTAAGTGGAAAAATGTGAAACAAGAAAATCTATTACCCATTAGTTAGTTAATTTTGTAAGTAAACTTATATATAAAATCAATAAATACATTGCATATAAAATAAAATATATATATAAAGGACCAATTTGGAATTAAACAAAAAATATCATTATAAAAAAGGATAAATGCATATCTGCGGTCGGTAGTGCAGGTGTTATGTCAGTAGTATCTGGTCAAAATCTGCTAGCAATTTCGGTGTTTTTATGGATGATTATCAAATCTACAAGTTCTTGGCAACTTTCTTTTAGTTGCCCTTACATTTAATATTTTGTTACACTAGATAATCAATAGTCATACACTTTCAATATACATATGTATCTATTTATATACTTAAATATCGTACTAATTACTAAAAAATCAAAATAAATAAAAATTATATGGAAGATACTACATTCCCGTTACAGAACAATTTCTTCGAGATTTGTAACCGTTAGATCATCATGTAACCGTCAAACTTAATTGATCTAACGGTTACCAACTCTGACAGAATGGTTCCGTAACTGACTGTAGCATTTCTCAAAATTATAAAATTTCGTAGTCAATTATGCATTTTGAATATGATATCATTGTCTAATAGTTAGACATGTTAACAATATATAATTGTAATTTGATTTAAATTTATATATATATATATGAAATGGCATCATTATTCCCTCCCCCACTCCGTCTCCGCTGGCTTGTGCCCTACATCCCTTTCAGATTCTTCAAACTATGCACCCTCTTTTTAACATTTGGGCAGGAAAAAGATAAAATAAAATGTGTGCCATGATTTCATTCAATCATAGCTAACAAGATTTCTATTTAAAAATCATGGAAAAATGGGGAGAAAAAAAGGCTAAAGACAATTTGGTAAAGCAATGATGCTAACAATAATGGCTTTAAGTCAAAAAATTAGATACTATATGGGTAGTAGTCCATCAAACAAACAAGCCTTGCATTTTGTAATGCAAATCATGTAAAATCCAAAAACCTTATACAACTTAGAAATGTTACGGTGCAATTACGGAACCATTCCGTCGGAGTTTGTAACCGTTAGATTATCTTGTAATAACCGTCGGAGATAGTTGATATAACGGTTACAAGCCCCGACGGAATAGTTTCGCAACTGGACCGTAGCATCTCCCACAACTTAAAGCCATCAATCATCACAGTGCATAACAAAAGAAAACTTTCTTCTCTACTATACAACAACCATCCTATACCCAACCCTAAACAGATCTATCACCTATACTTGTGTAACTATGGTATGATAAACATCAATGGCAAAATAAATAAAAACACCATAAGAATAATTATTTAAAAAGAAAACCAAGAAGAAGAAGGAGAAAGAAGAAGATCTAATCTAACTCAACTGGCTGAACTGCACTTCTCGAAGAACCCTTCCCTTGTCCAAACGTAAAACACGATCTTCTAACTCTGCTGCACCCTTCGTTTGGACTAACTAGTACGCCATCATTATTATCATCGTCGTTATTATTGCTATTTACTTCTTTGTGCCTCTGTATTATTTCTTGAACAGCTATATAAAGCTGGCTATCCGTGCCCGAATCCATGGAGAATGACCTCCTCAACGGCTGAACCATAAACGACTCGTCTCTGTGCCTACGATCAATATACTCATCTCCCATGCTCGAAACAAGGCTCGCCTTTTTACCATTCTTTCTTGAAATCTTGGCCGTAATGAACTCATCCGGGTTTGAATTTTCTTGGATTCCCGATACTGATGGACCGACACAGCCCTCTTCAGGCCGTATCTCGATCACCACATAATCTTCATTCCGGCCCGAAAAGTCACCAGCCCGATCCAGACCAGGCGGGCTCGGAATAATCACTCGATCCAACTGCGAATGCACGTTTGACGAGACGCTCGTTCTGCAAAGCGGGCAGTTTGCATTGTTCTGAAGCCAAACGTCGATACAATCAATGTGGAAAATATGGGCACAGTTGGGAATGACTCTGAGCTTTTCTTCTTCTTGGAATTCGTTCAAACACACAGCACATTCGAACGACTGCACTTTCAGAAAGGACTCGTCTTTTAGCCCGTTTTTCAGTCTCTTGAAGTTGAAAATGGGAATCGACCGGATGGCGGCCTCATCGAGTCCCCTTCTCTCGGCCGGAGAATGAAAAGCGGTCAGCGGGTTCTCGGCCAGCTGCCGCCTTGTGGAGAAGGAGAAGCGCCTTAAAATGTCTATACGGTGCCAGCTCAGACAACACTTGATCACGAAAATGTAGTAGCCGACGAGCAAGAAGGCCGTTGCCAGAATGCCGATGATGGCTACGGCTATGATGGGGAAGCCAGCGTGCGGGGAGTGTGCGTGGTTCGGGCCTAACGGCGGGGTCTGCGGGCTTTTGATAGGGGATTGGGACTTGCTCGTGGGATCCATTGAGGAATTTACGCAAACACCTGATGTGTCAGTTTTTTTAATGCTGGAATCTATTTGCTGGGATTCATTTTCTTCCTGGCCATGACAAGTGAACTCTCGTGAAAAACATCAATGGCGGAAATTGAGACGGGCCCAGATTGGATTTAAGAGATTCGTAATGAAAAAATTATGAGGTAGAGA